AACAATGTTACTAATAAATTACAACTTTACTTAGTTTAATTGGTCTGTGTTCGCTGCACAATTTTTGTATTTCATGATCCATGATAATTGCCATGGATATATATATCTTAAATCATAACTTGAGAATAATATTTGTTTTCAACCGTTTTTTTTCCTCCAAAAACTTGTGAATGATGATAAAGTTTGTGTATTTAATCGGAACAAAATTGTTGAAAACAAGCTTTATATATTTTAGAATTTTTAATTCAATGCAAAAAAGAGAGCTGCTGCTATTATTGCATAAGCTTAACAATTCCAAAAACCATTTCTAGGTTAAAAACGGAGTTTGCAGGGTCTTTGTTCACTCTCAAGTGTGGGGGGGGGGGATGCCTTCGTTGGGCTAATACCACCCTGATACGCCCATGGTTTTAGGTTCGACACAGATCGAGTATCCCTAAACCAAAAAAAAACTAGTTTACATTTTGATCAATCAATCCATTATCTACAGTCTACACTGCTCAACCGCTTTATATTCATAAATAACCTAGCTGTTGAATATCTGAACTAAAATATCCGTATTTGTAACAAATTCTATATTTGGAGCCCAGGCCCCCCATTCAACATTCAAACTTTAGATGAATCAGCCTTTATGCTCCACAAAGAAATAATTTCAGATCTTTTTTTTCAAAAATATTTACTTAATAAAATACAAATATAGATTTTAGCTTTTTTATATCGTTGCATAAATTATTGCGTATTTTTATATAGTTATAAAAAAATGGTAAAGTGTGTCAATTATGAAATTGTTTCATCGAAATAATTTATCCTTTATATAGACTTAATTCCTGAAATTACAGATTCAGAAATTACAGCTTCAGAAATGCACTGTTTAAGATTTTACCAAGTTTCAACAAAAAATATAAAACGTTGAAATAATTGCTGAAGGTTGAATAAAATCAATCAAGAAAACTTTTAACTAAAAAATTTGGGCATTTTGGTTTTGGATGAAAACTCTTCGAAATCAAAACAAAGTTTGTATAAATACATCGCATGTTTCATTGTAAGCAATTTATAAATAGACTATGATGACACTTTACGCTGTACTCTAAGAAATGTCAAGTTCGTTTTCTTGAAATGGTGTTGAATAAAAGTATTAATCTATTATCTATATTAGAAAGTTTGTGCTTCTAAGTTGAATTTGACTCCAGTGCTCCAACAAGTTTAAAGAACTACGATATACCCTGCAGCACAGCTAGAGAACAAACTAAAAATGTAAAATGTACGATAAATGCTTAATTTCTCGAAAGGAATTGAGTCTTTGCCACAAACTCTGATTTTCTAATCACTATATCTGTGGAACCAAATGTTGTAGACCTTGAGTTTGTGGCAAAGACTCAATTCCTTTACTCAAAAAAATCTTTGCACTTGACGCAGATTTTTTGTATCTTTTCTAATTTTTAAACTCAGTAACATGTTTTTTATCTCGGTTCTAATTTAAATCTCGGTTTCAATTTTTTAATCTCAGTTCTAATTTTTAATCTCGATTTAAATTTTTTTATCTTATTATTTTATCTTATTTTTATTTTAATCCCGGTCCGAATTTTCAATAATGTTTCTAATTTATAATCTCGGTTCTAATTTTTAAACTTGAGTTTTAATTTATATTTAATTTTTAATCTAGAATGAACTTTTGTTAGTATTTGGTTTATGATCCAAGCTTGATTAGCTACTAGAACTTTAGGGTTGCATGGGTATATGTTGTATAAAAATAATGATTGCCTGTTAAACCTGTTAAGCTTACCCCCCCCCCCCCCCCTCATCCTGTCAGGGGGCAAGAACCCCCCTCCCTCTCCTACTGACCCCTTGAAGGGGCACTGCCCCCTCTCACCCACTCCTTAAATTTAGAATTGTTTATCGTATTTAAACAATTTTTTTAAAATAAGACTTTTCCAATTTTGTTTTTGGTCTAAAAATCCCCTGTTGTTTAGTCTGCACTAATTTTGTTTTTAAAGAGATGAACGATCGTGATCGTGCATTGTAATCTAAAGGTTACAAATTTTAAACCACTGTTTTCTACCCTAGCTACCTGTTAAACATGGAATAGTTTAGACCACAGTGAGTGCACAGCGCTATAGACATTCAGCCCAGCATATTTAACTAATTTATAAGATCTTTATTGTCCTGGGGGGTAACTTAAAACGGTAAATATTTACAAAACAGAGTTTGTTAGCTTTGGCATTACCATGCAATAATTCTAGTACTTAAATTCTGTAAAATATTTTGCAAAATGAGAAATTTCCTCAATTGTTTCTAGCAAAAAATTCGCAGGTTACTTTTATGAAGTAAACTTAATCGAAAGAAAAGTTTTAAGTTTTAAAGTTAAAACACGGATATCTTAATATCAAGTTTTGGGCTCAGGTTAATTGCTCCACCTATAATCCAGAAGTTTTTCTATTTTATACACTATACACTATACACTTACAGGGTGTGCAGATTATAGTTTTTCCATTATATACACTATACACTTACAGGGTGTGCAGATTATAGTTTTTCCATTATATACACTATACAGGGTGTACAGATTATAGTTTTTCTATTATATACACTATACAGGGTGTACAGATTATAGTTTTTCTATTATATACACTATACAGGGTGTACAGATTATAGTTTTCTATTATATTGTGGAGACCCTGGATTATCGTCTTCTATCCAGAAGCTCTGAAAAGCAAACCAAATATATATATACACATTTTTAGATAGTATGTTGTAAGTTATACAAAAATATATATTCAGTCCGTTTATATCTTTGTTATTTTGCGTCGTTACAATATACACTATACAGGGTGCGCATATTTAAAAAGTTAGATTAGTTTTATTGGACACACTTATCAAATTATTAATTTAGTGAAATGGTTCTGTTTACACTACACAATTGCCATGTCTCATGTTCATTAGACTTGTTAAAGTTATTACATGATTCTAAAAGTCGTCTTCCTATTTCAGAGTTTTCTGGTTATCACTGTATAGACCAAACAGATTATTATAAAGGTTTTGATCAGATTTTAAAGAAATTATGACGTCAAATGTGGCACAGTTTCAACCCAAATTTTAGTATATTGGACATTTAATAAACAATTGATGAAAAGAAAAGAAAGATAGTGTAAAACTACACTAATTTCACTGCAGTAAACTTTTCTATTCCCTATCTTTGGAACCTGATGGTATAAATCTTCGATAAATTTCAAAGGTCTGCGACTTTACGTTGTACAGATTTAGGGACTAGAATATATGTCAGTATTCAGTTCTTTTCTCAACATCTAAACATTTTTGAACCCACTGTATTTCTATTATGTCTAAAATATTTGAAGTTTCAATCAAATATACTGGTCAGATAAAATCTTCTATCTTGATGTGAATATTTTATCAAAAATTTCAATATTGAACAAAAACTTTGAGATTAGATGTCGAAAACTGCCCAGGAAATAATTAAGCTCAATCTCGACAAAAATTCCTGTTTTTCGGCGGGTTTACTTGCTTGCTTAGGCTTGCAAAAATCTAAATAACAGATTACTTGCATTTTATTTTACAATGATAAAAGTGGTAGAGCGTAGAGTGTAGAGTGTAGAGTGTAGAGTGTAGAGTGTAGAGTGTAGAGTGTAGAGTGTAGAGTGTAGAGTGTAGAGTGTAAAGTGTAGAGAGTCATGTCATGTCATGCTGCGTAGGTCGAGTGTGTCTAATTACAACATGGTTTTTCTTAATATACGCAAAAAGCGTATTTGCGTCAGTTAATCTCTGAGGATAAGTTTTTACAAGAATATATGCGTATTGTTATGTCCAGAGAGCATACTGCTTTATCATCAGGCAAAAGGGGCTGCATGTTGACGTGATATTTTGTGAATCTTTAACTTGAAAAATTTACAACAAATAACGGTATCTTCTTTGATCTATATTTTTTTAAAATATGAAAACAAGATTAACTATTGTAAATTATATGGCAATTGCAATTTCTATGACCTAAATTTATCATTAAAAACGTAATAACTGCCGGAAGACTAAAATTCTGTGGCATGGAAGACGGAACGGTTGTGGCTCTTGGCTGCCGGAAGAAAAAAAGATAATATGTGGCATAAAAGTGTAAAATGTTGTTGCTTTTTGCCGCCTGCCTTCCCCCCTTCCGCTCCGTCTTTAATCCTATTATAGCCTAATAAACAGTTGCAGGCTTGCAGCAACCTTTCATTAATCGCCTAATATTATATTTTCAACAATAAAACAACTGAACGATAAAAGCAAGTCGATATCAGAATAAAAACCTATGGAATAGGAGAGACTCAAGTTATGATTTATAATTGTCCAATTAACATGAAACAGCAATTTTGCTGTACTAATTAAGTATATTATCTAGAGGTACTGATGCAACTATTTGCTATAACCAACATCGAATACACAAAAGATTGATTAAATGTCGTCTTCCTAATCCAAAGTTTTAGGGGTGCCTCAGTATGTAACAATGCCACAACTCTAAAAGTGTTCTCTAAGTAATCAAAAACTCTACTTAAAGTCGTCTGAATCTATTTCTCTACCGATTAATGATTAACACAACCATTCGTATTCAGATTATCTCTGTAACTGCAATATAGCTGATTGCGCGCATTGGTTTGGCGTTCATCAATTAGGTGCTTGTGTACGGGTAGACATTGATAGCCCGTTGTTTTGGCGTTAATCGATTACGAGCTCATGTCCTGTTTGACATTGATAGCTGACAAGATTGTGTCCGGGTTTAGACACTGAAAGCTAAGTGAAACTGAATTGTACCTGGATAGATACGTGTTCGAGAGCAGTTTATGGAGTAAGGTATTTACTACAAGAGTTCTTTTCTGGCTCTTTGGATTAAAAAAAACTACTTATATTAACTCAACGCTTAGACAAATTAAACAACTGTTTGCCCAAAATAAATGCATTTATTTCTGAATTAAAACATATAAATTATTACATACTCTTTCAAATAATCATTGTTGAAACTATGCTTGTTTTTTCTTACAGATGAAACCGTTGTCCTTGTCATTAGCATCATCCTTAGTATCCCATTTAAACCCAGCATCAAAGTTCATATGAAGGTACGGAGTCCCACTTGGATTATTGGCAACAAAGTCCTTGAAGTCCATTGGAGCACCAGTCATCCATTGGATGGTCTTATCCCTGTTTGTATCTAGGCCTCCGATCCAATAATCTGTTCCATCCTTAGGGTTGATAACATTCAGCACTCCCTTGATAAAGTTGTTCTCTGCTGCTGACAATATGTCTGTCAGGTAGGCGCCATATTGATTACAGAGTTCCTCTGCCGCGAGGAAGTCCACGTGGTAGCTAGTAAACATGTAGCAGTGTCCCTCGTGATAAATCCATCCCAGATTATCTTTACACTCTGGCGCTGCTGCCCGCAGGTTTCCGTCTTCCTTCATGAATCCAACAGAGTACTGGTCCAGGTAGCGAGGAGCGAGACTCTGCTCTTCTTGACCGCTAGCTAGAGCAAGAACAGTACAGATTAGTCCAATAGTCTTCATATTTCAACTCACAAGGATTGAATGATGTTTGGGATATGTTTTGATGCGCTTTTATACAGAAATGTGGAAAGATAAATAAAGCTGTTTTCCATCAAAAAAATATGAAATATTAAAATGCTTTTTTAAGTTCTAACTTTTTTTTCATATACATAGCATACACTCATTTTATTGTATACGCAAAATATTTTAATTGCTAATTTTTAACCATCCTATTTTGCACTTTTATAGAATGTTTGTTTTACTATAAAAGTTATCACAAATTTAAATTTTCACACTTCCTCATTGAGAAAAACTACCGCTTCTGTGTAAGACTTAATCCTTGCATTGTACGTCATTGTGCCAGAAAGATAAGTTTTTGAAAATGCGAAACCGGAAACGGATAATGGAAGCCGGACATTGGAGACAAAAAACCTTAAAATTTAAATTTGAAACTGTAAACTGTAAATCTAAAAAATTTAAATATTGAAAAAAACTAATGATTTTTTAAGAAATTTAGTTTTGGTAGCATAAACAACTAATTCATTTTTCAAATTATTTTTCATTCCTTGACTCTCTTGACAGTTATTAAATTACCCCTTTTTTGAAAAAAAACTAGAAAATGAAAAGTTGTTTTGAACTTTGACATTATAATTGTGTACGAATGAATAGATTAATTATTAATTTAAATGACTTTTAACTATGATATAATGAAAAAAAGGTGTAGGTGGGGAAAGGGAGGGGGGCATGGGGGGAAGTGGTTATAGGTCAAGGGGGGAGGGGGGAGGTAGGTAATTCGAAGAGAAGATTCGTGATGGACTTGTTATTGTAATTTGAATCCGCAGGAAAACTGATTGTTTATTTACGCATTATATTATTTACAATGTTTATACAGCATAATACTTGAGGGATTTTGATTGAAACCAAGGGTGTAATGCAAGGAAAATTAATTGCGGTCGTGTATACTCTGCGTACATATTGAAACCAGTTCTCTCTGGGCGGAATTTGTAAACAAAAATAGATGCAACAGTGTTCATTTAGTATCCGAGGAGGTTAAAAGCATTACATTTTGATAATTCACATAATAGTTTCCTATGACCAGAATATTTCATTGATTTTTTATGTGAAAGATGGATCCCATGTCAGGCTGTGACATCCATCTTGTGTTTACATTACCGCCCAGTGACAGTACACTGCAGTACAAAAGATGTGTACACTTCTGACATAACTTTCCTTGCATTGCATCCTTGATTGAAACTATATTTTTATTCAATGGTGTAATCATATTTATTTTTTAGCAGCAGTCAAATTTTTACTTTTTTATTTTTTTTATTTAGATATATCTAATCCTTTTCGAATTCAAAATGTAAAAAAAAATCCATTGTTCTTTTATTCTTTAAACATAATTCGATTGTTTCTTTTATCCTTTAAACATATTTCCATTGTTTCTTTTATCCTTTAAACATATTTCCATTGTTTCTTTTATTCTTTAAACATATTTCTATTGTTTCTTTTATTCTTTAAACATAATTCCATTGTTTCTTTTATTCCTTAAGCATATTTCCATTGTTTCTTTTATTCTTTATACATATTTCCATTGTTTCTTATATTTTTTAAACATAATTCCATTGTTTCTTTTATTATTTAAACATAGTTCCATTGTTTCTTTTATCCTTTAAACATATTTCCATTGTTTCTTTTATTCTTTTAACATAATTCAATTGTTTCTTTTATTCTTTAAACATATTTCCATTGTTTTTATTCTTTAAACATATTTCCATTGTTTCTTTTATTCTTTTAACATAATTCCATTGTTTCTTTTATTATTTAAACATATTTCCATTGTTTCTTTTATCCTTTAAACATATTTCTATTGTTTCTTTTATTCTTTAAACATATTTCCATTGTTTCTTTTATCCTTTAAACATATTTCCATTGTTTCTTTTATTCTTTAAACATAATTCAATTGTATCTTTTATTCTTTAAACACATTTCCATTGTATCTTTTATACTTTTAACACATTTCCATTGTATCTTTTATTCTTTAAACACATTTTCATTGTATCTTTTATACTTTAAACACATTTCCTTTGTATCTTTTATTCTTTAAACATATTTCTATTATTGCAAATTTCCGCGTGTTTTGATTTTTTCAACATTTTTGTTTTGTTTGCTCCTATCAATAGTTTCTTTTCCAGAATATGTTTGACATCCTCTTTAACTGCATGTTGTTGTACATAAATAAACATATTTTCTTATTCTTGTGAAGATACACCCCCAAACAGATTATTATAAAGGTTTTGATCAGATTTCCTATATTAAATTGTCAATTCGCAACCCAATGGACGATTNCCCCCAAGTTTAAAGATTGTTTACACCTCACCTTCACTTCACCTTTATACCTTCATAATAAAGGATCTGTCAAGATTTACCCATAGAGAAGTTGGAATACAGATGGAGTAGTATATAATACAGATGAAGCAGTATATAATAAAGTTGGAGCATATAAAATACAAAAGGAGCAGTATGCAATACAGATGGAGCTGTATATAATAAAAATGGAGCAGTATAAAATACAGATGGAGCAGTATGAAATACAGATGGAGCAGTATAAAATACAGGAGGAGCATATATAATAAGATGAAGCAGTATAAAATACAGATGGAGCAGTAAAAAATACAGATAGAGCAGTATAAAATACAGATGGAGCAGTATAAAATACAGATGGAGCACATATAACAAGATAAAGCAGTATAAAATACAGATGGAGCAGTATACAAAACATTGGGAAATGTTGATATTTTTAAACCCAACTTGTATCAAAAATTCAATATCTCATGGCATTATTTTTTTTCGTCTGTCTTCTATTTAATCTTTGACCTTATCAAACTAAGCTATTTAATCCTCTACTTATAGGTGAGCCTGGGGAGTGACTAAGATTGCATTTTTTCACGTGTATGATATGTTACATATAACATATGTCGTGTTGTACTTTTCTTTGTTTGTTTTTGTGATCTGGTTTTTTCTTTTTTTTGTTATTATCTGTTCTTTTTTAGGATTTCCTTGGAAGTTTTCTTATGTGTTTCCTGGGAAGTGTTCTCATTTGATTTCCTCGGAGTTTTCTCATGAGATTTCTTGTAAGTTTTTTACTGAGATTTCTTTGGAGTTTTCTCATGAGATATCCTTAGAAGGTTATCATGAGATTTCCTTGGAATTTTCTCATGGGATTTCCTTGGAGATTTCAAATGAGATTTCCTTGGAGTTTTCTCGTGAGATTTTCTTGGAAGTTTTCTCATGAGATTTCCTTGGAGTTTTCTCTTGAGATTTTCTTGGAGTTTTCTCATAAAATTTCCTTGGAATTTTCTCATGAGATTTCTTTGTAATTTTTCTCTTGAGATATCCTTGAATGGGTTCTTGGAGTTTTCTCAAGAAATTTCCTTGGAGTTTTCTTATGAAATTTTCTTGGAGTTTTCTTATGAGATTTCCTTGGAAATGTGATTTCCTTAATGGTTTTCTCATGAGTTTTCCTTGGAAGTTTTCTCATGAGATATCCTTGGAAGTTTTCTCATGAGATATCCTTGGAAGTTATCTCTTGAGATTTTCTTGGAGTTTTCTCTTAAAACGTTTTTTAAGATATCCTGATTTTTATTTTTTGCGTTATTAGTCCGTGTATGATAAATAAGATAAAGAACCTTAATATTAATAGTTTCAATCTTAGCTCATGCTAGGTTCACTATGTGATTTT